ATTCATATTGTGTGGTTATATAGGTAGCGTGTAGCACATATTTCATGTTGGTGTAAGACGTTGACTTTTGACTACATTTGTGAGGCGAGTCTTCTCACTGTACTCATGGGTCGAAGGGACAAATGTCGATCCACTAGATTATGTTATGTGGGATGCTATTTGTCTTTGTGATACTTGCATGGAAGACCTAGGGGTAGCCCATGTCATTTTTATGAAAGACCATGGGGGTAGCTCATGACACTTGTGTTTAAGACCTTGCGGTAGCCAAGGCACTACAAGTGAAGACCATGGGGGCAACCCATGAAAATTGTATGAAATACCATGTGCGTAGCCCATGACACTTCTATGCAAAACCATGGAGGTAGATCATGACAAAGTATGTATGGTATGTTGTATTTTTTGGAACTCAATGAGCTTTGTGCTTACGGTTTTGTGGTTTAAAACATTTTCAGGTACTTCTAGTTTCAGAGGGAATGGTCCGGCTTGATTGCACAACATCCCCTTATGATTTCTGTATCGATCATTATTTTACTATGATGACTTTGTTACACTGTACTCTGATTGGCTTTCAAGAACATGAAGTATGGTTTTGATGTTTATTTTAAATTGAAAATTTTATTAGTGTTTTTGGGATGTTACATTAGCTTCTATTATGATGTGAAATGAAGTTAAAATATTATATAAATAAGATAAGGGAAAATTTCAATGGTGAATTAGCAAATGATGAATGTAAATGAGAATAAATAAATAGTAAAATGCCAAATGATGAAATACCAAATGATAGTGGTGTTCTATACAAAACTATAGATTCGGTTGGAGATGTTATAAATGACGAGTTGGGTATGCAACTGCATTTCAGCACAACATACCACCCCAAACCGATTAATAGAGTGAGCGAACTATTCAGACGCTCGAGGATATGGTCAGAGCGTGTGTTTTGGATTTTGGCGGGAGTTGGGGCACTTACCTTCCTTTGGCCGAGTTCTCCAATAACAAAAATTATCATGCCGGTATTGATCGACCACCTTTCGAGATGCAGTATGGGAGGAAGTGTCGGACCACGTTTTATTGGGGTGGGGCCGAATATTAGTTCATGGGGAGTACTAAGGTAGTACTCCAAACTACCGAGTTGATACAACAAGTGTGTGATCGGTTGCGGATCGCGCACTGTCGCCAAAAGAGTTATGCTGACTGAAAACTGTCAGACCTTGATTTTCAGGTCGAAGATCTTGTGGTACTAAAGGTGTCACCTTGGAAAGGTGTCATCCGGTTCAGGAAGCGGGGAAAGTTGGGCCTTAGGTATTTGGTCCCTTCAAGATTATTTCTCGGGTGTGTAAGGTGGCGTATCAGCAAGATTTACCTTACGAGCCTAGCCAGATCCACAACACTTTTCATGTCTCTCAACTGCAGAAATGTTTGACAGATGAGTCTGTAGTGGTTCCTTTGGATGACATTCAGGTTGACGAACGCTTGAATTTTATAGAGAGACCGAACGCGATTTTCGACAGGAAGACGATGACCATGGGCAACAAGGTGGTGGATCTAGTAAAGATGTAATGGCAGAATCGGAAGGGTTCAAATAGACTTTGGAACCCAAGGTCGAGATGAGGAGATTTACCCTGAGTTGTTTGTGGCGCAAGACTTTAAGGACGAACTCTAATTCAAGTGGGGGAGAGGTATAACATCTGGACCCTTAGAGTATTTTTATATTAATTTCATTAAATTTAAAAGGATGCGTCTGGTTGCCACTACGTGGTGGAGTCACCATCACAACGTGGCATCTCTAAAATGTCTGCGGGTTCTTAAGTTGATTTCCACCGCATGGCAGCATGTCGGCCACGACGTGGCAACCGTCTTATGAGAAAACCCTAATATCCGGGTATTTAAAGGAATGTTTGGGATAAGGTTTGTTTACCCTCAGAATCCATCATTATCAAACCCCGAGAAACCCTAACCGTAATCTCTCTTGAAGCTTTTGAGCTCATTTTTAAGCCTTTTGGTGGTATGAAGGAAGTAGAAGAAGATTTTGTGCAAAACGCAAGCAAAGAACGCTCCCTAATCTTTGAAAGCATCTTGCTCGACCATTTGTAAGGCTTCTTGACCTAATCTTTTAGTTTCTTCTTGGCGGATCAAAGGTTTCCTTGCATATTAGAACCCTTTGGTGGATTTTGAGTGAAGCAATGAGTAAAGTTTGCAACTTTATGATTTCTCTGAATCCCAAGAACATTATATCTCATCGATCTAGGAGTCTGTTGTGGTTTGGAAATTATGCATGAGTTTGAGTCCTGTTTCCACATTTTTGGCTTAAAATGGTAGAGACATGCATTGGACATGCATTCATATAAAGCACTAATCTTTATGATCCATTGGGTGGAGGAAAACCTTTTGGAAAGTTTGGAAGAGTGTCTTTGGTGATTAAGGGCTTAGTGGCTAGGTGTTGTTTCTTAAAAGCCTTTAAGGAACTAGGTTTAGAGATCTTGTCTTATTAAGATGTCTTAATGGATAAAGTTGCAAACTTTATTCATCAAGACCTTGGGAAGGATCAGATTTGGGGTTTGGAGCCCTTGGAAATAAACAAAACGCAGTTGGACCCGATTAAGCTATTCAGACCAGTTCCCACGGCGTGGCCTTGGGTTGCCATGACGTGGCGACTGGGGGATTAGTCTACTGTTTTGTCGCCTTGTGCCCACGACATGACCAATGGAAGACCACGACGTTGGCTTTTCCAGTTAGCAATTTTGACCGTAACTTTGACTGATGACCTTAAGGGTTGACCTTTGACCTATTTGACTTTTAGTCAAATTTGTAGTTGATGAGTAGAGTAAGGATTCATATTGTGTGGTTATATAGGTAGCGTGTAGCACATATTTCATGTTGGTGTAAGACGTTGACTTTTGACTACATTTGTGAGGCGAGTCTTCTCACTGTACTCATGGGTCGAAGGGACAAATGTCGATCCACTAGATTATGTTATGTGGGATGCTATTTGTCTTTGTGATACTTGCATGGAAGACCTAGGGGTAGCCCATGTCATTTGTATGAAAGACCATGGGGGTAGCTCATGACACTTGTGTTTAAGACCTTGCGGTAGCCAAGGCACTACAAGTGAAGACCATGGGGGCAACCCATGAAAATTGTATGAAATACCATGTGCGTAGCCCATGACACTTCTATGCAAAACCATGGAGGTAGATCATGACAAAGTATGTATGGTATGTTGTATTTTTTGGAACTCAATGAGCTTTGTGCTTACGGTTTTGTGGTTTAAAACATTTTCAGGTACTTCTAGTTTCAGAGGGAATGGTCCGGCTTGATTGCACAACATCCCCTTATGATTTCTGTATCGATCATTATTTTACTATGATGACTTTGTTACACTGTACTCTGATTGGCTTTCAAGAACATGAAGTATGGTTTTGATGTTTATATTAAATTGAAAATTTTATTAATATTTTTGGGATGTTACACTAGCTTCTATTATGATGTGAAATGAAGTTAAAATATTATATAAATAAGATAAGAGAAATTTTCAATGGTGAATTAGCAAATGATGAATGTAAATGAGAATAAATAACTAGTAAAATGCCAAATGATGAAATACCAAATGATAGTGGTGTTCTATACAAAACTATAGATTCGGTTGGAGATGTTATAAATGATGAGTTTTTATCACATAGAAGATAATATAATTTCTTTCTAACGTTTTCAAATAAACTAATAAAATGTTATATACATGTTAATCAATTGTATTTTCTTGATTAGATTTTTATAGTTATAAAATTATTGAGTCAATTTTGATATTTATGAATTATGTAATTTATTTTATAAATTAGATTTATATTTATTTTGAAGTTCTTTTAGATGGACTTTATTGAAATTTTAATAAAATCAATCAAATTTGGTTCAAATTATTAAATATTTTAATTATATTGTAATAAACTATCATGATTATTATATATTTAATTATTTTTCAATAATGTATTTTTAAATATACTTTTTTAATTAATAAAATTTGTTCTTAATAATCTTATTTGAAACGAATTATATATAACTTTATGATATATATAAAAAGATTAATATAAAAATGAGAGTGAATTAGTAACCATGTATCAATTTTATCAAATTGTTAATATAAAAAGATTAGTATATAAATGAGAGCCATTTAGACCTGATAATGTACTTATCTTTTACCTATTTTTTAGGCATCTTGTTTTTCGTCACTATCCATTCAATTTTTAAAACTCGTGAAATGATCATTTTTCACTTCACTTCACCTCATATTTTTCTTTATTTTTAAAATATATTTTATATAAATATTATATTTTTTTTGTAGAGAATTAAAAAGCATAAATTTTAATATATTTTTTATAATTTTTTAATATAGATAATTTAATAAAAAATTAAAAAGAAAAAAAAACACTTTTTATATTGACCACAGAAAAAGAGAAAAAATATTAGAAAGCTACCTGATAGGGAAAAATCTTTCGCCAAAACCTTACCCTGGGTGTGGTATTGTCGGGTGCGGTGAAAGGTACACATCAGCAAACCGAACCGTGCAGTCTTTATGAAAATATGTTGTTCCCTAGTGCGGTGAAAATTACACATCAGCAAACCGCAATGTGCGGTCTTTGTACTCCGTTCGGTCTATATTGGAGTTTTCTAGTTTATTTTCTAAAGAAATATTTTGGAAGTGTAATTTTAAACTCCTTATATCCTTATATATCTTACAAGATATTAGAATCGAAACTTCAAAACTATAAATTCACATTTGATAAATTTAATCCGTTTTTTCTTTTAATTAAATATTATGATTAAATCAATTTGATTCTTCATCTATAAAGAATGACACACATAAACTTATTTATAGATACATTAGTTAAAGTTTATTATTTTATTTCAAAAAGAAAAATTGAAAGGAATTAATAAAGTGACTGGAAAACACCATAAGTTTGACAAGAACTATTCTTACCTCAAAACCCATATGTGTGTTGCAGTATATTTATTGGTGAGACACTGATGTCGACTTGAAAGCTCCCATCTTTTCATGTCTCTCTTTCTCTCCATTCAGACATTAGATACTACTCATAGTTGATCATCTCTCTTTCATATCACTCTTTCATAACTTACACCTTCACTGTGTGTACTAAGAACTCCTAAAAACACCACTTGTGTGTGTAAAAACTCACAAAACAAGCCTTATGGGGTCTTTGGGAAATGGTGATGTCAAGAAAGCAACGTGGTTGCACCCAAGGTTCACCGGCTTTAACCCTTCTGAACGATGGGGGCATTCTGCTTGCTTCTCTAATGGCTTCCTCTATATCTTTGGTGTATGCATATCTCCCCCCTCACTTCCTGTATATGTGTGGATATATTTTTCCATGTCTGTTTGCTTCATCAGTTTATATGTATAAATTCAGATGGGGCAACAACAAGTTATATATACTTTATAATCTTGCTTTTGCTTCTTTGCCATTTTCATATATGCCTGTTGTTTGCAAGTCTTTGGTGATTAATAGGGGTTAGTAGGCTGTATGAGGTTCGAATTCAGAAGCTCTGAAAGTCTCAGAGAACTTGAACAAACCTAGTTCAGTAACTACTTTTTTTATCTATTTGGGGCAAAACACTTTTGTCTACTGTTGTGGACTTAGGTAATTAATTATGCTATACAAAAGGCTAAGATTCAAATTAACTTCGTTTCGCTTTAAGTTTCAGCTATTTGAACGAGTCATTTGGCCATTTTTATTTATCCGGGCTAAGCTCGGAGTAACCGATGACATTAATTTTTCATAACCGAAAGGTTAATGTTCATATGGAACGAGTATATTACGGTATTTTAGGTATTCGATTGCACGTGTAACTAGGTGTTATAACTCGATACCTTTAGACACATAGTTTAATAAAATTTTTTGAGAAATGATAATTAAGTATTTAGTTAATTTGTTTTAACAAGATAAAACTAAGCAACCTTTTGTTACGGAATCTTCCTAAAAATGGTAATGTTGCATGTTTATAATGCCGAAAAATATAAAGGTAGTAGAGTTTGTAACTAATGCTTGCAATTTTCCATTCTAGGGATGTTGTGGAGGCCTACATTTCAGCGACGTACTTTTGCTAAACCTTGAAACCATGGCTTGGACCAATCTAGCAACCAAAGGAGTCGGCCCAGGTCCTAGGGACAGTCATAGTGCAGTCATCGTAGGTCACATGATGGTTATATTCGGGGGAACCAATGGCTGCAGGAAAGTTAACGATGTTCACATTTTGGATCTCCAAACCCGTGAATGGACTCGACCCGATTGTAAAGGGGTTGCTCCTACACCTCGGGAAAGTCACACTGCGACCATGGTTAACCATGACTGCATGGTGGTATTTGGTGGAAGTGGGGAAGGTGATGCAAATTACTTGAATGATTTGCATATTTTGGACCTTAAAACAATGAGGTGGAGTCGACCTGACACCAAGGGTGATGTCCCCGTGCCTAGGGACAGTCACAGTGCCGTTTCCGCAGGCAACAAAATCTTTATCTATGGAGGTGATTGCGGGGACCGTTACCGTGGTGACATTGGTGTTTTCAATGTCGAGACATCGACTTGGTCAAGGGTAATATGAGCTGCATCTATAGGTCTTTATTAGGCATTGTTTGTTATGCTACACAAAACATGACATAACATAACAGACCACATACTACTTATGTATGGTTTGCATAGAGACTAATATAAAACGTTCAAAATTTTTGTCTCCATACTCGTCACTTAATAAATCCCTAAGAAACTTGTCTACTTTAGTCTTGTATACAAATACAATGTTGGTAAAATGTAAGCTAACGTGTATTTTTGCATGAATAATTTAGTTTGTTGTTCGTGGACCATCACCGGGAGTTCGAGCAGGACATGCTGCTGTGACTATTGGGACAAAGGTGAGTATTAATTATTAGAAATGTATGTCAATAGATTGGCACTTGAGATGGAGATTGACTATATTTTGAATTGTTGATGAAAACTTACAGATTTACATGATTGGTGGTGTTGGTGACAAGCAATACTATAACGATGTTTGGGTGCTTGATACAATAAATAGTTTGTGGATTCGGCTAGAGGTACATGGCCAACAGCCACAAGGGCGTTTTTCTCACACTGCTATTGTTGCGGATTCTGACATAGCGATTTACGGAGGGTACGTATTCATGATTCTTGAATATGGATTTAAGTTTAAGTTTGGCACATGCTTGTACAATCAAGCCTAAGATTCAGAGACTTTTGTATTTGTTTTTAGGGTTAAAAGTGTGTTTGTGCAATGACGCTTCACGTTTTAATGTATATGGTTTCATTACTATATGTTTACTCTAAACTTACAGATGTGGTGAGGACGAGCGACCTCTAAACGAGCTACTCATTTTGCATCTTGGCTCAGACCATCCAAACGACAGGTATAACAGTTGTGGGTGCACGATGTTTGGAAGCCAATGCAACGAAGAAAAGCGAAACTTCTTTCATGATCATCAAACCGTCACGAAACAGTCAAACATTTCAGGTTTGATTTATGAAAAGTTATCAAAAGACTATATATACACCGACTTCACAATTTTATCATCTGACTTTTGTGTATTTTTAGATCCAATGCACACAAAAAGAAGAAGGATGTCGAATTCAAAAGCTTGTGAATTAATAGAATCAGAACCAGAAGAACATTCACTTTCCCTTTCACAACATTCATCGCCATCTCACTCAGATCAAGAACGAGCACTTGTTAAGCAATCTTCAAACACAACCGCTCAAGCTTTACCTTTGTTTAAAAATCAACATCAAAGTTCGGGAAGTGTGAAGCAAATCCCGGGCACCCAATTGAACCCTATGTCGATCTTCAGTCGAACTCCACAAGATCCACAATTCATTCAAGAGCAATCACATCACCATAAGCACCATCAGAATGGCCATGCAACTCGCACAGAACATCAAAACATTGAGCCGTTGAGTGTTCAAAACCTGGTAATGAAACTTGTCTCCAAGCTTTTGCATGTTTCATATATGAGATTTAAAGTGTTTAATTAATTAGTCCGTTTGAATCTCAGATTGGCGCAGATGTTCATGGTAAAGTTGATGGAGCATTCGACTCAGGTTACTTGATGACTGCAACAGTCAATGGTCGAATCTTCAGAGGAGTCTTGTTCCCTCCGGTAAGCTTCCTAACCAGTTTCAATGTCCTCTCGTTTTTTCTCAGTCACAAAAACTAAAAGATCGTGTCAACCAGGGGCCTGATGTTGTTTCAAGAGGAGCTTTTCGGGGTCATAACCGTAGGTCACCCACAAGCCAAATGGCTCAAAGAAACCTACATATAAACCGGGCTTTCATTAGGCACTCAAACCATGCACCATCTCATGCACCGGAACCCAGTCATCATAGCTACCTCCAAGATCATCATGTCCGCAGACCATCGCCTGTGTTTAGATCAGCTCCGGCTCTATCATTAGGAAGAGAACAAGCGAAGGTTCAAAATGAACTGCATGGCGTGGTTCTCACACTGGGTGGTCCAGGGAGCGGGCACGGTGGCTCTTAGATCAATGGAGATATGGAGATGATCCTCGTATACGTCTCTCCCTTTTTGTATATTTTGGATAAAAGCCCGCTAGCCTAGATTTCGTATTTCCTGTGTAATATCTTCTAATAGTTTTTTTTTTTCCACACGATCTGAGATATTTAATTGTTTATTCTTTTTCATTGTTTGCTCTTTTGGAAATCGTAGTATAAAAGCGGTACCCAAAATATGCGTCAATTTCCTTGATTTAATCTTAATTTTTACGATTTTCGTTGTTAGACCATCCAACCAAGTGCAATTTCTACCCCTCGTCTCTCGTTGAATCGAAGGTTCAAGTGTCAGTGTGGACATAGATATGAAATAATTTAGAACTAGTTTAATATATATTTTTATTTAACGTTAAAAAAAAATATATTATATTTTCCAAATATCCTCTTGTGACTAGGGCATCTATGGAGAGTTTTCTTTGGTGTAAACTCCGATTATAGTATAATTTTTTCATATAGTTTTTTATGGGTCTAAACATATATAATTTAAGTAATTTTATATAAAACAAAATCATTTGATTTATTAAATAAATAAATTGTTTATATATATATATATATATATATATATATATATATATATATATATATATATATATATATATATATATATAGACAGAGAGAGAAAAAAAAAGTTCAATAAAAAATCATAATTATTTGTTCTTCAAGAACCAAATTTTTTCAAGTTTTTGGGGTTTATTGTTTATCGAAAAAAACTAAAAATTTGTAAATTAATAATTTCATATTGTGAATGGTAAAAGATAAATTATATATTTTTCGAGTTCACCCTCTGAATTCAGATTCACACAGTGAATCTGCAAAGATTCATACTGTGAATTTGACAAATTTTTTTATCGAATTTGATATCATTAGAAAAAATGATAAAAAATTACAAATTTCTATATTTGTAGTTTTATTTTGTATTATAAAAAAACAAGCTCTAAATATTGAAAAAAAATTGATTAATTATGGTTCTCTATTGAATCGTATCCTCTATATATATATATATATATATATATATATATATATATATAACTGTAGATAAGTAAAGTAAAATATATATTACTTACTAAATAATAAATATATCAAACAATAATGCATTTTACATTATTTTAAAAATTAAAATTTTCATTATCGATCAATGTTTAACCACATAAGTCCATTTGGCGTATCTCAAATTTCTTTGAAGATACTATGGAACCGATTCGTTGAACCTTTATATATATATATATATATATATATATATATATATATATATATATATATATATATATATATATATATATATGGAAAAATCAAATGAGAACACCTAAAAGGTTGACAACGCGAGAACAGGTATATTCATTTGTGATTCTATGTATTCATTTGTGGAGAAATGATAACTTTTACGCACAATCAACATGAATATGTTTTTTCTCTTCGATTGAAATTAAAGACGTAAAAATTTATCATTTCTCTACAAATGAATACATGGAATCTCAAATGAATATACTTTGTTCTCGCGTTCTCAACCTTTTTGGTGTTCTCATTTGATCCTACTATATATATATATATATATATATATATATATATATATATATATATATATATATATATATATATGGAAAATCAATGGAAAACTAAATTAATTAAGTTCAAAACATTGGCTAATATAATAAAACCTTTTCGGTGATTTCGGTGTCTACGTCGGGAATCTCCACCTGTGGACCTTCTCCGGCGGGTGTAAACACCGGCAGAGCTGGGGTATATTCGTTCTTTCCCTGATTCTGATTTTATTATCTTCTGATTCATCATTGCTGACAATTCATGTGAGTATTCTCTTCTTGTACGTAATGGGTTTCATGAATTCTGGGAATTGTCGATGGAAGTCAGATGATGGGTGGAATAAAGATTGCCATTTTAATGGAGTGGACAAGCAAAACAGATTTCAATCTAAACGGGATCAACATCATTTAAGTTGTGATAGTCAATCCTTCTACATTACAAACTTCCCAGAAAATGTTCTACCTTCTGATTTGTGGCGTGCTTGTGGTCGTCTGGGTAAGATTGTCGATGTTTTTATTTCTAATAAGTCTCGAATGGGGAAAAGGTTTGGCTTTGTCAGATTTCCAGGTAATTGTAACGCTAATCATATGGTTAAGAGTCTTTGTGATGTATGGTTTGGCTTTCATAAACTATATGCATCGGTTCCACATGTTGCTAAAAAAGATTCTTTTGTACATAAAATCCACTCAAAAAGAGAGAAAATTAAAGCTCCTGTTGTTTCTTATGCAAGTGTAGTAAGAGGTCAAGACAAGGGGAATAAAGAATCGGTTAATGTTGCTATTGGGGAATAAAGAACCAGTTAATGTTGTTATTGTTCTTAATTCTGGGGATTTTATTATTGAAAATAAAAAGCTTGCATGTCTAGCAAAGGCAAAAGATTTTTCTACCTTACCGAATCTTGGGATGTTATGTCGTGATGAAGGTTTTGTGGATTTTCAAATTCGATATGTGGGGGGCCATTGGGTGATGTTTGAATTCACCTCTAAAGAAGTATGTAAAAAGTTCTTAGCAAGTGATGTGGTTAGTCACTGGATTACAGAAAAACGACAGTGGGAGAGAAATTTTGTTCCACAAGATCGCATTATATGGGTTGATATTGAAGGGCTACCTCTTCGGGCTTGGAGTAAGTTGGCATTTAGGGAGATTTTGGCCAAATGGGCTTGTGTGGTACAGTTAGATTATAACCTTGGTGAAGATGTATATAAAAGTCGAGTATGTGTTTTGACTTCTTATCTTTGTATTATTTATGAAGTGGTGAAGGTTAGTGTCGATGGTATCATATTCCCGGATAGAGTTAAAGAAGCATCCGACTGGACTCCGACTTTTTCTTGTGATTTCATGAAATCCGCTGATGGGGAAGACGAGGGACATGTTCAGTTTGATGAAGAAGGAAGTAATGGTTCTCTAAATTAGAATGATGAAGCAATGGGCTATAATTTAGATGGGTTTCTTGATCGTTTGAAAGAAACTGTAGCAGGTCACGATGAAAGACATAAGATTTGATGAATTGTCTCTCAATTAATGTTCAAGGGGCGGGTTGTATGGATAAACACGCTTGTATTAGAAAACTTTGTCATCTTAACAAAGTTAATTTTTTAGCTATTCAAGAAACGAAGATGGAAGAAATTGACTTGCTCTCGGTTAGATCTTTTTGGGGAAATACCTATTTTATGCATGCGTTCTCTCCTTCTCTCAGTGCTTCGGGCGGTATTCTTGATATTTGGGATCCAAAATGCATTTCTCATAAAAGGACGTTTACTTCGAATTCGTTCATTGCTATTGAGGTAATTTGGACTAATTCGAGTCTAGAAGTATTATTTATTGTAGTTTATGCCCCACAAGCCGCTGATTGTAAAAGACAACTCTGGAATGATATTACTCAGATTATCTCTTCTTTTCGGGGCGAATGTATTATTATGGGGGATTTCAATGAAGTTCAAGATGAATCTCAAAGATTGGGATCAACCTTTTATCCCGCTAATGCCCATTCCATCAATGATTTTATTGATCATCTTGACCTCGTTGATGTTTCGTTAGGTGGCCCAAGTTTCACTTGGAGTGATAAATGGGGCTCTAAATTTAGCAAGCTCGATAGATTTCTGGTTACGAAAGGTATTTTGTCATCATTCCCTCATCTTATGGGTCTCGTCTTGGAAAAAAAATATTCAAGATCATCTTCCTATTTTGTTAGTGGAGCATTGTGTTGATTATGGTCCTACTCCCTTCCGAGTTTTTCATTATTGGTTTGATATGGTTAATTTTAATGATATAGTGAGAGATTATTGGATGCAGCCGATGAACAGGGCGGTTTTAGATAACCCTCAGGTTATTTTTAAGAAGAAATTACAGCTTCTTAAATTTAACTTAGTTAGGAAGTGGAACATCAATAGTCGGGACCTGGTTGCTACTAAAAAGAAAAACATTCAAGATTCGATTGAGTCGATTGATAGTCGCTTGATGAGTGATGATGGATCTGCTACTTTGAGAGAGCAGAGGGTCCCTTTACTTAAAGAATTGGCGGATCTTGATCACTCTTCTCGGTTGGATCTTTTCCAGAAGGCAAAGATTCAATGGAGTATTGAGGGTGATGAGAACTCGGGTTACTTTCATGGTATCATTAATCGTAAGAGGCGTCAAATTGCTATTCAGAGCTTGGATAGATAATCTTGTTCGGATCAAGGAGGAATTTCATGCTTATTATCAGTCTCTTTTCTCGAAGAGTAGCAAATGCCGCCTTATGACAAGGGCCATTCATTTCAGTACTTTATCTGTTGATCAGGTTGATTTCTTGCAGTCCCCTTTTACTCGTGAGGAGATTAAAAGGGCTGTTTGGGATTATGGGTCTTCTAAGGCATCGGGGCACGATGGATTTACTTTTGGGTTTTTCAAGCGTTATTGGGATCTTATAGCGTAGGAAGTTGAGGCGTTTTTCATGCATTTTTTTCATCATTCGTCTATTCTGAAGGGATGTAATGCTTCCTATTTTACTACTACCCCCAAAGTTAGAGACCCGAAGACTCCAAGAGACTTTAGACCTATTAGTCTAATTGGGTGCCAATATAAAATTATTGGTAAACTTTTAGCTAATAGATTGGTGGAGGTCATTGCTAGTGTCGTTAGTTGGGAGCAGTCTACTTTTGTCAAAGGTAGACAAATTTTGGATGACCCATTTCTTCTTAATAAGGTAGTGGCTTTGTAACGCCCCATTTCGAATCGTTCCCATTTCGGGGTGGTGATCAAGGAGTGAGTATTATTTGAGTTAGAACCATTGAAGAGTTGAGTTTAGGCTCATTTGGAGGTGGATGATGTAGTTTGAATGATCCAATCATTCGGTTGGTGTTTTGGAGCCCAAAGGTATCAGTAAAGGCGTTGGTTTGGGCCTTTTATGGATTTTGGATTTAAGTTCGGTTGTCTTTCAGGCTGAAGAAAGTTGATATAAGTGTAGGGCTTCTCGTTAGCTTTCCGTGGATATAAAGAACGTCAAAATCGGAGTTATAACGAAGAAGTTATGGCCATTTGAAGTTAGAAGGGTTTTGGGCCAAAATCGAGTACGCATGGCGTACCAAGT